GATGTAGTTAGCCCATTATGGTGGCGTAGTTTTATTACAGGCCTATTTATTAATAAGCAATTTAGGGAGAGAGACTCGATGGGTATATAATACTTGATTAGCTACTTAACCACCAATGTGGGATTAGGATCCAACAACAAAATCATTCATACAAAACTGCATGACATAGACTTATGCCAATGGATGGATCCACTTGCATCCTTTATAAAGTTTAATTTATATAACTTTGGTTAATTAATCAAACGAGGATCATGTGCCAAAACACTACTCCTAGCCAACTAATCGGTTAGATTAATCAGAAAAATTGGCATCACACCTTCCCCACAGAGAAGACAAATCCCACCTCTCTTGATTATGATTAATCAAAACACTAAACTTGATTTGACCGCAAATACCAATGACTTCCACATGCCATTTTTTTCAAAGTCTTCAGAATTAATTTACCAAAGTTTATATAGGTATACATTTAGAAAATAAAAAATATCCGTCTAGCTTTGAATAAAATATAAAAATAATAATAATTTAGTTAAGAGTTGATTAGTGCTCTACCACAATGTTAGAAAAATTATTATAAGAACAGAGTAACGTTTAGTTTCTCTTGTTCAATGATGCTGTCCTTAATTTACAGCATAATTAGTAATAATTTTGAATAATTTTAAATTATAATTATAATTATGGGATAATTAAAATAAATAACAATTATTTTTTGAATGGTTTTAGTTGCCATGTGAACCCAAAATAAATGGGCATATAAAATTTCATAGTGTGGTGGGGTGTCTGTCTGTGTGTCGGCGTGAGTAAAACACGAAGAAACGGTGTCGTATGTCTCGAACCACGGTTCGCTAACATTAACGGCGGGCGTAGTTTCTCGTGAGCGAGTACGCATGTTTGCCGAATCATTGGGTACAGTTGGCACGGGGACAACCAGACAGCCAATGCCCGCTGGGCCAAATCTCATGGTGGGCCCCACTTTGCCATTCTCAATTGTTCAATTCTCCCCACGAGATTTTGATTTCCAATTTTCCATATATTTTATTTTCATTTTTCTTTCCTTTTGTGTAATGAAAAAACTAATCTTTATTTTTTTTTTGTCATCAAATAATTACTGGTGTCGCTAACGAGTCTTAACAAAGTGATAAATGACATTGATTTGCAAATGGATGATCTTAAATTTAAACTCTCATAACACATTGATAGTATGTGTGAGAAAATTCTCTTTCTCTTTATAATATAGGCTATCACTTATATATATATAAAATAATAACTACGGGTGGAAGTTTCTGAGAATTAACACCCATCCAACATAGCCTATTAGTTTCTAAAATAATAATAATAATACACCTAGCCCAACTTCCCATGAAAAGGTGAAGAAGTTACAATCTCTTTTTCACTTTGACCGAGTATCCTATCAACAAACCAAAAGTTTGAACCAAGTTCATTCAATGCACAAAAAGAGGCATATCATAACGATTAATCCAAGAAGATGGCCAAAAGGAATGAAAAAGGCATAACCAATCTTCTCAAGAGAAGAGAGGGCAAATGTATGCATTAACAGATGCTTGGATGGCAATGGAAGTATAGGCAGTCCTTCTAGATGTTTTACTGTTTACTTTCCTTGGAGTTTGTTGATACAGTAAAAGTTAGTTGATACAGTAAAGTTAGCCACAAGAAGTGAACTTCAACTCCCAGCAAGCAAAAGAGAAAAAAAAAAGCAAAAAAAAAAAAAACCCAATTACAGAATAATTTTTTTGAGAGACAATTACAGAATATATAGCAACAGTTCAAACTAACATGAGAAGATAATTTGATGAGAAAATGAGGGACAAAATCTTAATGATGAGGTAGAGTGAAAGTTAGAGTCTCCAACCCAATGCATTAAAAAACTGAATAGATGGAGGTGATTTAGAAAGCCCACCACCCCGCATAATGATGCATACACTCTTTTCTTTTGTAACTGAAAAGTCATTCCAATAAAAGGATTTGTTTATTTGAAGAAGCATCCTCAGTTTGCAAACAGCCTTCTAGTACACCCACTTCCTTCTTTATATCTCTTCACCACCAGGCACCAGCTGGTTCCATCCCCACTGCCATTCTTTTGTTTTTATCTTACCAACAAGAACCCACCTTTACTTTATAAAGTGTCACCACATTTCAGTCTTTATTGCATTCTCAATCTCAACCTCAACCACCAATTCTCTCTCTGAGTTCCTCTTTTGGTGAGAGGTCAGTGTTTTTAGTTTTAGTAGTCTCTCTCTGCTCAGCCTGCACCTTATTTTCATAAGGATTTTGTACAACTTTTGACTGCTTCTTTGTGCTTGCGAAAGTTTATTGCTTTACTTCATAGTCCATGATATTAAGTTTAATTATATGCTATGTGAGACATTACTGAGCTGATCTAGATCTGATTTGTTGATGTACATTGTTTGACTGTGGACTCTGTCTCTTGTTCTTCTAGAGATTTGTTGACTTGGGCTTACTCAGAAACCTCTAGTGAGGGTGAAAAGCTCAAGGTACACAAACATGTTCTAGTGGAAGAGATGAATTGCTCACAGAAACTGCAATTTTGATCTGATTTTTTGCCATTTGTAATTTTATCTTCTGAGTTCAGAAACAGGGATTGGGTCAAATTCTAAGTTATATATCAACCTGCATTACTTATTTTTCGTGTTTCCTGTATTGCGATGCCATGTACTGTTGCCCCTGTTCTTTTAGTGCAGTCCATTAGATCTTTTATTAAACAGCCCCTACCACTGTAATGGGTATTTTTCCTTTTTTAAAATTTGTTGATCAAGATCTGGGTTTTCTTAATAAAGAGGCTCATTGTGTTTTTAAGATTTTCTTGATCTTACAAAGATTTTGCAAACTGGGTTTTGTGGGAACGTAGTTCTAGTGCACTGGGAAAGGTGAAAAGTTGGGATCTTGGAATTAATTGGAAAAACTTATACTCAGTACTCACTGACTCTGTGATTAACTGGCAATTTCTTTTGGTTTTAGTGTTTAATTGGCATTTTACCATTGTGCTTGGAATTTTTTTTTCTTGCAGGAATTTGGAGAGTGTCGCCATACAAAAAGTACTATTAAGTTGGACAAAATGGAACTTCCTGTGGTTTTCATGCTACTGCTTCTGTGTTCTTCAGCAGCATATGCTCAAACTTCTAAATCTCCCATCTTAAGCCCTACTCCAGCCCCAGCACCAGCACCGGAATACGTGAACCTCACAGATTTACTCACTGTGGCCGGCCCATTCCACACCTTCCTTAACTACCTTGAGTCCACCAAAGTGCTTGAGACCTTTCAAGACCAAGCCAACAAGACTGAGGAAGGCATAACTATCTTTGTACCAACAGATAGTGCCTTCTCATCTCTTAAGAAGCCCTCTCTTTCCAATCTCACAGCTGACCAGCTCAAGTCACTCATCCTATTCCATGCCTTGCCGCATTACTATTCTTTATCTGACTTCAAAAACCTAAGCCAATCAAGCCCCATACCTACATTTGCTGGTGGACAATACACTTTGAACTTCACTGATGTTTCAGGCACCGTGCACCTTACCTCAGGATGGACAGACACAAAAGTGAGCAGCAGTGTGCTTTCCACTGATCCTGTTGCAATTTACCAAGTTAACAAGGTTCTTCTTCCTGAGGCAATCTTTGGCACTGACATACCTCCAACCCCAGCTCCTGCACCGGCTCCCGCTGCACCAGCTGCAGATGCTCCAACAGCTGATGGAACTAAAGGCTCATCGTCTCCAGGATCTTCACCAGGAAAATCCTCTTCTTACAGGATTATCAGCTGGGGTATTTGGGGTCACTTTGTTTTGGCAGTCTCAGCTGGGCTGGTCTTGTTCTTGTGAGACAGACTTCACCACTGAAATCCTTTTAAGTTATGTTAAAAGGGCTTATATTCACTTATTTTGTTCAATTGCTTTGATTTTGAAACCATTTTTTGTGGACATATGTGGGTACTGAATCTTTACGTGTATGAGAATTTGAGTTCCGTTGTCCAAATGAGTAAATGGCAATTTGTTTGATCTTGTTTATACAGCAAAATGTTTGTACTGTAATGTTAACTTAATTCTTATGTTGCCTTCCCTTGTACAATATATGTGAAAGTAAACTATACTCATGCTAAGAGATTGCCTCCAAGTCTTTTGCTTACCAGTTTGATCCCATATGGTGAGGAGATCCTGGAAATTTAAAACCTTGCTGAAACTGCATATTTGAAGATTGTGAATTCTACTAAGCAACTCACTTCTAACTGCTTAACAATTGCATATTTCGTAATTTTTTTTTTCTTTTTTGATAGGGAACTTGCACAAAGTTCCTACCTTTTCTTTTCATAGGTCCTACTTTCATATCTCCTCCTGTTTTGAAATGTTAAATAATTATCGTAAACAATTGTTAAGCTCAAGTCAGACTGAAAATCAACAAGCACATACTTTTTCATGACAATTGGTTGGGCCTATAGTGTTCAGTCATCCTCTCAATCATATTGCCTTAGCCAGATATCTATTGGAATATGTCAAGATCATAGAAAACTAGTTGTTTTCGACTATATCAAAACCGTGCCATCATTGAGATCGAGCCTGAAGGTGAGTTAAGATGGAGATCCGAGATCTCAATCTCACATGTGACCTCCATTAAGTTTATAATTATCACATTTTTCTTAGAGGTGATGGTCTAAATTATCATGTTTACCAAAAAATAGGCATAAACTATTCTAAAGTACCTACTTCACAAGAGAGGGGGATCATGCTCGGGTGTAAGGATTTGGATACACTAGCCGAGCCAACTAATCTAACTCATATATGCAAACAAAACAAAAAAGAGTAAAGATAGCTTCCTTAACGTGGTTATTTTTTATTTATAAAAAGTAGAAACACAATATATATATATATATAGGAAAGAAAAAGTGGGCTACCCTTTTCTCTTTCTCTTATTTAAGATTGACATTTTCCTTTTTGTAGTTTCCCCATTTTGGAATTGATGCCAAACAGACGTTCCCACGGGAATTGAATGGAGGAGGGTGTGTCTGTGTTCAATATTATTAGACATTCACATTCATGGACATATATTATGGACAAGCAATAGGCCACCTTGGACTCTCCTCCTCTGCTTTTGCATTTGCCTTATTGCCTTCCCTGGCTCTTCGCGCGTCCTATCGCCTACACGTTTTTCTCTCCTTCTCTCACTCTTTTCTTCTGTCTTTCATCAAACACAAACATAACTCTCTCTCTCTCTCTCGCTGAAGAAAATCCAAGCTTGCTCAAAAAGAATGAGAAAGTCCTTCAATTTCAGCTTTGTTTTCTGAGATTCCATAAGGTACTCTCGTACATTTTTCTACCTGAATACTCATTTCTCGACGTGGGTTTTGATTATTTTATGTGTTTATCAACATTACCATTTGATTCGATAACTGGGTCAATCCTGAAAGAAGAAAAAAACGCGTTTTTTTTATTAACATGCACGTTGGTTTGCATCTATGATATGGTTCCTTAATTGGGTTTCTTTTTATTTTGACATATATGGATCTGGTTTGTGCTTCTGTTGTTGCAAGATTGTTAATTCCATGCTGACTTGTCGAAAGTTATGGCTATTTGAAAATTGAGATATATGATTTTGTTTCTGGGAAATCGGTGTTAAGCTTTATGCACTGGGACTTCGGCACAAACAAAAAAAGGGAAGATGTCTGGCTTTGAGGGAGTTATTGTTTCTGATACATGGCTGCAGAGCCAATTCACTCAAGTCGAGCTTCGGACCCTGAAATCAAGAGTAAGCTTTCTGATTTCCTATCAAGTGGCAATTTGTATTCTAGATTACTAGGCTATGTATGTTCTTTGGCGAAATTATGTGATCAAGTGGCAATTTTGTGGTGACATGTGGAATTGGTTGCATTGGTTTTAGTATCTTTCAATAAGGAATCAGTCTGGTCGCGTCATTGTGGGAGATTTGCCGCCTGTTTTTGCAAAACTGAAGGCTTTCACCGAAATGTTCACCGAAGATGAGGTTAAAGGTATCTTATTGGAGTCGAACAAGGACAATGGAGAAGAAATTGATTTTGAGTCCTATCTTCGGGTGAGTCTTTGAAGCATGAGGTTATGTCTTCCATTTCTCCTGTATTTCAATTATATTGTTCATAATCGGTGGATGGAATATGCTTTAGTTAAAATTGAAACAGAAATCAATCAGTGAGATCTTGTGAATGAGCAGACCTGACTGGCAGTTCAGTTTCCTTTTAACTATAGATCATGTTCGCATATTTGTTGGTCATGGTGGACTGGTACAAGAAATTAATGGGATTTGCTAAATGGCAGGCATATTTGAATTTGCAAGCCCGTGCAACAGCAAAATCTGGTGGTTCGAAATCTTCATTTCTCAAGGCAACCACAACAACTGTTCACCACGCGATTAATGAATCTGAGAAGTCTTCTTATGTTGCCCACATTAACAGCTACCTGGCAGAAGATTCATTCTTGAAGAAGTTTCTTCCATTAGATCCATCTACAAATTCTTTATTTGATCTGGCAAAAGGTGGAGTACTACTTTGGTAGGGGCACTGGACCCACTCAACAATTTTCTACTCAATAGTGTCCACAGACATTTTCAAGTTTGTTAATTATTTTAGTTGCTTCATGTAGTAAGCTTATCAATGTAGCTGTTCCCGGGACTATAGATGAGCGAGCTATCAATACTAAAACTTCCCTTAATCCATGGGAGAGGAATGAGAACCATACCCTTTGTCTTAATTCTGCAAAGGCTATTGGCTGCACTGTAGTTAACATTGGCACACAGGATTTGGTTGAAGCTAGAGTAAGTTGAGCACTGCCAGCTACCCATTGGAAATTTTCCAGTTTCCTAAAAATTTTCTTAACATTTTCACCATTTGCTTAATTTGCAGCCCTATCTAGTACTTGGCTTGATTTCTCAAATAATCAAGGTATGCAGTATGAGTTTTTTTTTATCGTTTTTGTTTTTGGTATTTTTTTTATCATAGAGTCCACAATAATTCGATATTTGGGTTATAAAGGCTTAAACTTATAACTTGTCTTTTCATGTGGTGGCATTATCAGATTCAACTGTTAGCTGATCTCAATCTGAAGAAAACTCCACAACTTGTGGAGTTGGTGGATGACAGCAAGGTCACAAAGTTTTATTTATATTCACTTATCCTTGATTAAACAAGGGCGGATAATCTGTATGTACACTTCGTTATGTTGGTAGATGAACATATAAGCTAACTTCAGCTATTATGTTAGTGGACAGGATGTGGAGGAGCTCTTGGGTCTACCACCTGAGAAGGTTCTACTGAAATGGATGAATTTTCATTTGAAGAAAGCTGGCTATGAAAAACAAGTTACAAACTTCTCTTCTGATGTGAAGGTAAGAGCAAGCTAACCAGTTTTGTACTGATAAGCATTTTATGCATAAACCTAATAGCAATGGTGTCAAAATTGTATTTCCAGTCTCCTATAAACTGACCACTAAATTGTCAATTAGGAAGGAACATAAGACTTGTATCCAACGTGATTTTTTTATTTTTGTTTTAAAGTATGCTGTTGATTTTTTTTTATCCTCGTGATTATGTAATAAGATTAACACATTTTCAGGATGGAGAGGCTTATGCTTACCTGCTTAATGCTCTTGCACCAGAGCACTCAGGCCCTGCCGCCTTGGATAAGAAGGATCCTACAGAAAGAGCAAACCTTGTTCTTGAGCAAGCAGAGAAATTGGATTGCAAAAGATACCTCACTCCTAAAGACATTGTTGAGGGCTCACCAAATCTTAATCTTGCGTTTGTTGCACAAATTTTCCATCACAGGCAAGAAACAGCACTTCTCAAGTGCTTTAGGCTTGCAGATTTTGATATTCATTCATATTTTCGCATCACCAATTTACCATATTGCGTGTTTATATTTGTTTTGAATAACAGTGCCTGTTGCTTTCTAGCGCAGATCAATTATATTGTGTTCTATTGTTTTTGCTTCTTGATTCTCCTTCACTATCAGTTGGTGGTTCTGATGTTTCAGTTTGCAATGCTGCAGTAGTTCTAATCAGTGTGTAGTGCCTTTTTGTTCAGATTAATATACTGTGTTAATGGTGTGTGAATTTTTCATGCAGAAATGGCTTGACTACTGACAGTAAAAAAATGTCCTTTGCTGAGATGATGACAGATGATGCCGAGACTTCTCGGGAAGAGAGATGCTTCCGACTGTGGATTAACAGTCTTGGAACTGCTACCTATGTCAATAATCTTTTTGAAGATGTCAGAAATGGGTGAGATTTTTAATTTCTCTTCCCTCTAACCCCTTAGAAGCACATACATGTTGTGACTGGTTGAGCCATGATTGATATATATCCCTTTTGGATGCAGATGGGTTCTTTTAGAAGTTCTTGACAAAATTTCTTCGGGAGCAGTCAACTGGAAAAAGGCAACAAAGCCGCCGATAAAAATGCCATTTAGAAAAGTTGAGAATTGCAACCAAGTTATTGAGATTGGGAAGGAATTAAATTTCTCCCTTGTGAATGTAGCAGGGAATGATATTGTGCAAGGAAATAAGAAGCTCATACTGGGTGAGTTTGAAGAGTTTTCCTTTAAAATATTGTGTTGGTAGTACTGCAATATTAATTTTTTTCATCCAAGAAAACCTTGAAAGTTATGGTACCTTCTTAGAACTATATGATTTCTAATTGACTTGGAAAAAATATGAGACAAATAGTATTGGATTTCTGACTGTTAAGTTTTACTAGTTGGAGTTTTTTTGTTTTTGTTTTTGTTTGTTTTTGTTTTTGGTTGTGCTAAGACAAATTGAGGTCTCCAACCCGTTTCCTCAATTCAAACTTCTATAATTTAAATACGCAACCTCAGATATATATCTAGGGTGGACAAGTGAATTTAAAGCTCTTTGTTTATATGTCTCCATTTTAATGTTAGTGATAACTCTTTAACTTCCCCTGTATCCCCAGCATATTTATGGCAGTTGATGAGGTTTAGTATGCTTCAACTCTTGAAAAACTTGAGATTACACTCCCAAGGTAAAGCAGGAAAAGAGATTACTGATGCAGACATTCTAAATTGGGCAAACAAAAAAGTTAAGAAGGCAGGTAGAACCTCCCAAATGGACAGTTTCAAGGTAATTCAATAAACAATGGCCTTTCTTACTGACAGCTTCAATCCGATGATTGGCATTTTAGTTTTTAAGGTTTTATTTATTTATTTATTGAACTTTCAAATTTTAGGATAGAAACCTTTCAAGTGGAGTTTTCCTCCTCGAGCTTCTTAGTGCTGTGGAGCCAAGGGTGGTTAATTGGAGTCTTGCCACAAAGGGGGAAACTGGTATGGCACTTTTTGTAGTTCATGAACAAGGTTGTTTTCTCTTATGTAATTACTTGGCGACTTGGAAATTCTTGTACATGCTAAAAACATCAATATATCAAGCTCGTAGGTTTTTGGCTTTCTTAGGGATCAACTATTTGAGAAGGACACGTATCCTCTATAGAAAGCGGGAAACATTTCTCACTTTTTTCATCATTACCTTCTTGTTACCATTTATTATTATTTTATTTTTTTCTAACTTCATTATCTTCAATATTGCAGAGGAAGATAAGAAATTGAATGCAACATATATAATCAGTGTCGCCCGAAAGCTTGGTTGCTCCATTTTCTTGTTACCAGAGGACATTATTGAGGTATGGGATATTGTAGTGGACCAAAATATTTATAGCTTACTCATCTGTCATCTTGACTGAAATATATGAAATCATCAAGTACTCTCTGTCCCTTTTGGCATCTAATGGGGTCACTAATTATTTGTCACTAAGAGAAGTATCTGGTTCTGAGGAATAGTCTAACTCCAAAATTATAGATATGGAGTTTTGCAGCCTTCTGTTTCTAAATTAACATTTTCAAAGAGTGGGATTGAATCCTTCACTATATTTCTACTCTCAGAAATCCGTAATTTTTTTCGTGTTGTTCAAATGCTTGATATCTTTCTCATTTGTTTGTCTGTTTATGGTCAAACTATTTTAACGCAAAGAAGAATGCTAACTAATGTTATGAGTGGAGCAGAGTATTTCAGTTGAACTGGATTGAACCAAAACTGCAGTCTACCTTCTTCAATGTAGTATTAGACTAGTAGGTATATAACATCCAAATTGTACTGCCATGTGCTTTGGTATGGCAGGTAAACCAGAAGATGATCCTTACTTTGACTGCAAGCATCATGTACTGGAGTCTGCAGCAACCAGAAGGTGAATCAGAATCAAACCTTAACAGTCCTGATGGCTCCCCTACAGCTTCCGCTGATGGTGAAACTGGTTTGGCTAGTGCAGTGTCCAAGTTGTCTATGGATAGAGCTGCTTCAGATAATGCTACCTCCCCACAGATAGAGAATGAGAATCCCTCAAAGGTCGAAAATGAGCAATCTTCTCTAGAAAATGAAAAAAATGACCCTTCTGATGGAAAATGACAGGATATACTTATTTATTTATTTATTTATTTATTTATTCTTTTTCTAGAGAACAGGAATAAGAGGAACTTGATTTCTGTTATCAGTTCTCTTGCTCATGCAAAGGGAAAGTGCTCAATTTTAATGGGCTTGTAAACCACAGGGTCTTGTAAATTTTTGTTAGAGATTATTGTACCTAGGTATATTCTTTTAATGGGTATTGCATTATTTTTGCTGAATAATGCGAAGGGAGAAAAAGCATTGTTTGTTTATCTTTTTATACTAGTTTTGTCTATTTTCAACTTAAAGCTTAGATCTTGGTCCTGTTTTATTTTTGCTTTTTCTTTTTGGGGACTGAGTTGGTCTTCACGTTACAAGACAATACATTTTCCTTTTTTGGCCTTTTAGACATGCGCATTGTAGCTAGGGTATAAGGCACATTGCTGTTTCATTCTACACTATCAATAGCACCAGCGGACAATAGTGTATGGAAGTTGAAGAAAAAATGTATGGAATTATATGCTATGAGGACAAAATGTTACAAAAAGAAAAACACCCAACAAAGGCACTCTGAAGCATTCGCTTCGGCACAAATCTATAAATTTTTATTTTATAATATGGAAAAGAAACAAAATTGGCTAACCTACATTCTCTTCTTGTTCACTTGCAATGGGGGCAGTAGGACAAGGGAATAAAGATGTTCTAGGACCATTGGGAGTATCATTAGTAAGACCATCAGATTTTTCTCGTTCTGCAACAACCATGAGCATCTCAAGGCGCTTGTCAAAAATTAATGCACTCTCATCTCTCTTGTCAAGCTCAGCAGCTTCAGCTTCAAGCCATTTTTCTCGTAAGTCATCCAGAAGATTGCGCTGGTCCGTATTAACCTCAGCTCCCGGTGCACTTGGAACGGTGGTGCGAAATGATGAATCCCCAGATGGTGGAGGCAGTGTCAACAGCATTGCTCGGAATTCACGAGTTTCAGCAAATGTCTCAAAATTATAAGCTATTGCATCTAGACAGAATTCCCTTATCTTCAGAACTCCATACCTACACACACGTCAATCATCAAAACATTGTAAAATTCCAGAGTTCCAAGGATATCATTAACTATAGCTATTGACCAGAATTTCAGAGAAAGAGAAATTGGGGGTAGGGTTTAAAGGAGCACTATACATGTCTGACAATATCAACCAATGGCACATTTCTGCAGGCGAGGCACTTTCCAGGTGTGGCAGTAGTACATCAGCTACAGCACGCTTAAGAGGAAATAATAGATATCTAGATGCGGCATCAAATATTTCCCCAGCCTGTTCAGTTAATGACAAGTATTAGACCCCCAAAAAAAAAAAAACACAGAATCTTCTTTTTCCAGAAATAGAAATAACATTACAAGCTATTTGATTTCTTTGTCGGAAATGCTAGAAGCTACTAATAAATATATAAGCTACCTGATCAGGTTCTATATCCTTCAATCTGTCAGTGTACCTGAACCAACCAAAGAGTTGAAAAAAGTTTAATAACACAAATAATCAGAAGACCTAAAACATAGTTGATCACACAAAACTGCAAGAAAAATGCAGACTAGGCACAAAATCTCTGGTTATTGTACTGACCAAATGAATACCATAAATGTTTACAAACAACCAAAATACCAAATTTAGGAAGTGAACACATATCTTCTTCATAACAGTCTATTTCATCTTTCCCATTCTAATTTTTTTTCTCTTTTTTATTAAAAAAATAGGAACACTTACATATACTCTATCATTTTCTCAAATGCTTCAGAGCTCAAATCATGTTCCTCAAGAATTGGAAGAGTATCAACGGGTAGATCATTTTTCCCTTCATGAAAGTCCTTCATACGGGATAATCTTGCTTTAAAATATTCCGACCTTGATGCTAAAACCACTTGATGGCATCGGAAATTCTTTTTATCAACTCTTACGCAAACATCCGCAAGATCATTTTCAAAATCACTGATTTGCATCATACCAACACAAGATGTTAAATTGTTCACCCCATTGTCTAGGTCGGGTTCCAGGGTGGAATTTGCAAGGGAAATCTGAAGGATATTGTGCAAGCCAGCAGGAAGCTGATCTTCTTCAGGAAGAGACAGGCCTTGTAAGATGAACCGCTTTTTAGAGCTGTCTATGTCTCTCAATGCTTTGTACTCGGCATATTTTTGGTGAATCAGTTCTTTCTCAAGAATCCTTTGTAAAGATTCACATTTACATACTTTGCAGATCCTCACAATATCCTCCATATCATCTACAGCAACCTCCAGTCTGTCAGAATAAAAGAAGTGGATGAGACTGTATAGGGCAGGATATGACAACTTTTCCCTCGCAAATCTTACTTCTTTGCGTTGTTTCCAATCAGTCACAAACTTTGTTCTGAAAAATGGTGACCGAGCACTTAGGATGACTCTGTGAGCTTCGATGGGTCTACCTTGAACAAAAAATACCACATCTGGAGTGAAGTAGTTGGAATTGGTTCCATCGTTGGATTGAAGACCTACTCAGGAATATCAAATGTTGAGTGTCACTTAACATACATATTGTTCTTGAAAGAAAACTATCCAGATGTTCTGAACGACAACAGCCCACAATAGGCACAAATTTTAGCTAAATCTACTACTAGCACAGGACTGACTTGAATTTTCTAGTGAAGACAGCTAAACATAAGTATGAAACTTGATAGCATTAATCAACACGTTTCAGAAAAGTTAGACCCAACGTCATCTTCATCCCTATATTTCCGAAAACAGACACAAACGGAATGTATTCTTGTGACTTCACTACCAAATCAGAACACATATAGGACGTCATCACTCAGTATCTCTTGTTCAACTAGTTCGACCATATCAAGCTATATGCCAACTATGTTTTACATAAGCCAATCCTCGCACTACATTGTTCAAGAAATGAACTAAAAAATATTCTTCTTCTTTATCCCTACACTAGAATTCTCATACCCATTAACATTCCAAAATCAACAACTCCCTCAGCTATAAAAACTATTATCTTGAAAACTAATCGGTTATTGCAAAATTTGAAACCGACCCATTTAGCCTCACACCCCAAAAACACCAACGCACAACCACCACTTCAAACCATGCAATTCCAAAACCCAGAACAACAGAAACAAGTAAATACCTGAAATTTGGAACTGGGTATTATCAGCCTGCTCCAAATAGGCACTATTAGCCCCACATCCCAAGAAGGTCTCTCTCATGGCGGCCTGCAAGGGGCTCAAAGGCGGCGGCCTGGCCTCGAACGCCTTCAAGAGCTTCCTCACCTTCAAATTAAGCGCGGCGTAGTGGCAGCGATCGCCGTCGAAGGTGTGCTCCGAGCATATCGCGCCATTCTCGAGCAGCATGCGAGCCGCCTCGAGGTGTCCGGCGAGGCACGCGTAGTAGAGAGCCACCGAGTCCCACTGGTCACGTGCGTTCACGTTGACTCCGGACTCTAACAGGTAGCTGAGGCGGTCAACGTCGCCGGCACGTGAGGCCTCGAATACGTCGCCGTTTGGAACCTTTTTGAGGGGCAAGGAGGCGGCGAAGTCGGACGCATCGAGGCCGATCCCGTCCAGCTCCGGATCGATGGTCCAAGGTTGCCGCTTTTGGGTCATCGGGTCGGGTTTCGTGTCTGCGTCTTGTGGGTTTAGCGGGTTGGGGTTTTGGGTGCATAGTGAGAATTGTGGCGATGAATGGGTTTCGAGAAAGTGAGCATTTTTCTCAGTGTAACGGTTTTGGATTGAATTGAAAGTGAAGGGAAGGAGGGAGATTTGGGTTGTGCTTAATTTATAGTACAGTACAGCATAGTGGATATGGAAAATCAATAATATCCATGTTTTTTAATTGAAAAATAAATAAATAAAATTGTCCCTGCTGGTGAACTTTTAAATTATCCAAAATGTAATAAGTTAATAACCTTCAATCTCTATCACGAATTACCATTTCTGCATTTCCTTTAGAAGAAGGCATGGTTTCCCTTTGGAGGCACCAAGGGCCCAAAAAACGGATTTCCACCTTCTTTTTGCGAGTAGAACAGATTTCTAGAACAAATTGAATTTCATTGAGTGAAAGTTATAGACACAACATTTGAAGCAAAAATTACAGGGCACTAAAACGCAACAATGCCCGAATTTGCAGTGTATCTAACCACACGTATATGATAACAGTTAGAAATTTACATTGATCACCTACCACAACATCCTAATAGACAACAGACACTCCCTTTGCTTGGTTGTTTCTTTTACAGAAACACAGAGGAGAGAAGAGACACAACAAATTCAGTTTCTTCCCTAGTGGAGGAACAAAAAGCTCCCCCACTAGATCGTCCGGCATTTTTGCAGTTTCATCAGCTTGCAATGCTGCAAATGTTATTTGTCATCCAACTTTAGGGAATTTAGCCGTCTAAATCTCTGATCGAGTTCCTTCATCACTGCTGGTTCTTGCTTTTTCCTTTGCTTTGATATATTGTTGGTTGTCATTGAACCTATCTTATCAAATGCCACCTGCAAGAGTGTTACACCATATTAGAAGCAAAATCATTTTCAACACCACATTAATCCTTTTTTACATCAATTATAAATTTAAGATTCATCTATGCCGAATGACTTCTTTGCTAATTTTAGATACATGCTAGTCAAGTTTCCCTTTAATGCATAATTGATGGAGGACAAGGTTGAGACAAGAAAATAATAACTTTCTTTTTTTTCCCCAAAAAAAAAAAGCAACTGCAGAGAAATGTGTTACCGTCAATAGCTCTTCAGGATCAAACAGGTGATGAGTAGTTCTCTGCAGAATACTAATTACATCACCAACATGGTGGGTTATGAGCAACTGCTCTTCCTTCATCTGCAATTGCAAACCACAAGATCAAACAAACTTCTCTGATATTACTATATAATATTTCAGCTGAACTTAGATGATCGACAGTCAAGAGCAAGTAAATCTGCATGACCAATACAAACAATGCAAACGGCCAAAAATTTATAGTTGTACCTTAAAGATTGCCAAAGCCACATGAAGAATAACTTTAGCCCCCTCGTAGAAAAGGATATCCCATACCCTTAGAGTAGTCTTTCAAGAAAAAAAAAAAAACAGGCAAAGAAAAATAGGGAGAGCCCCATGAAAGTGTTAGTCACAGAAACAACCTCAACTTATTTCAGCATGTTTCTATTTTTGAGAGAGAGAGTATTGCTTTAACCTCTGAAGGCAAGCTTTTGGAAAAAAGGCAGAGAAACCACTC